GATGGGCTTGAGATGAATGGGTTCTGCCGAGGAGAGAAGGGTGCAGGGTGGGGTGGGGATGACTGTCTCTGTTGGTGCCACCTGCATTGCCACGGGGAGCGTGAGGCTGGAGCTCAGCTGTTGCCCCAGCGCTGCCTCCAGACATGCTCCATTCCCTGTTGACATTTGCTGTCACTGCATCAGCACAGAAAAGCTGCCCTGAGCTGCTGAGGCCTGGGGCCGAGAGGGCGACTTTGAAAAGGCCCAGCAGGAGCTGGCCCCTGCAAGCTGCAGCAGGCCCCTCGCATGGTTTGGAGCAGCGATAGGGTTGGGAGCCATAGCCAGCGCATCCGCTGACGGACAGAGGCAGAACCACAACGACAGCAGCCCAGGAAGAGCCTTCAGGGATACTGCTGCCCTGCGCAAGGCTTATCTGCTGTGCTCGGCAAGACACTGCTGCGGAGCCTCTGATGGCTGCTGCCCAGGACTGTCTACAGCCCCAGACGCTGGAGACGCGTGCGCTGGGTATGATGTCCGGATGCTTGCTTTGGTAAGCATGTGTGAGCAGGCGTGCACACACATGCACGCAGGTCCGTAGTGCTGTGCAGGGCTCACCCCATTCCTGCCCAAGGCTACAGGAGCGCTGCATTGCCAGGGGCCACGCGCCTTCAGGGAGGCCCAGCTCTCCTGCAGGAACGCTGCCCTCCTCGGGCAGGGCTGTGGCCTGGTCTGACCTGATTACGTGGCAAGGAACTGACCCGGGTGTTGGGACTGATCGTTCTGAGCCCTTCACTGCAGGGCGCAGCCAGAAGCCGCAGCCCCCGGGGTTAGCTCTTCAAAGCCCGGGGTCTGGCCTGCAGCCTGACCCTTGCACTTTGCTCTGGGTCCTGCCAGTCCCTGATGGTGCCCCAGGACATCAGCCCAGAGGACAGGACCCTGGTGGGCTGCCCCAGGCGACGGCCAGGCCCAGGGTGTGAGAAGCCTTGCGACTTTGCAGTGCCCCAGCAGGGAATGGAAAGGCCCCCCTCCCCACCGTCTCCCTACGCACTTGGTTCAGAAAGAACCTGGATTAAAACCAAAGAACTGGACTGGAACGACATCCCCGTCCCTGTAGCTGTACAGACAGATGCCTCCATGGCCGCCCAGCTGCTGGGCCCAGGGATGCCCTGGGACTGGACCAGGGCCCACGGGTGTGAGGAGCAGGTGGCCCGGCCCTGAGGCAGCAGAGTACGAGCCACCAGTGCCGGATGAGATGATGAACCAGGGGAGGCGAGAGCCCCACCAGGCAAGTGAAGACTCCACGCCCGCAGGCCTGGTGGGGACACGTGCTTGGGTTGTGATGGGAGACTTGTGCCCAGCCAGCACCACCGGGTGTGCGGGGATGATCCCTGATGATTGCCGCGGGACTCGGAGCAGTAGGTTCCCGCTCCTGCTGACCCCAAACAAGCTGTGGGCCTGGGCCGCGGACAGCCAGCTCCCCTGAGCTCGGAAGCAGAGGGGCGCAGCTCGGGTTTGCTGTGACCAGGCTATGCTGCCAATGTGCAGAGCAGACCGTAATGCTGCATGAATCACTTGTAGGTTCATAAACTCAGGCCTGTTGTCAGCACCCTCCTGCTGCGGGGGAGATGAGGGAGGGCCTTGCAGCTCGGCAGGACTCCCACTCCGGCCGGGGGGGCAGGCAAGGGACAGCCCGGTGCTTCTGGGGGAAGCTCTCCTGGGGCAGGGGCTGCAGGGCAGTGTTCCTGGCAGATGGAGATGCTGGCAAGCCTGGGGGCAGGAAGCTGTGAGGGAAGGGGTGGGGGCAGCACGTGGGGCAGGCTCTCCGCCCTGCAGCAAGGCCTCTGGGGACATGCCGAGAGCCAAGCTCCTGCCCCCACGACAGCCTCGCAGCCTCCCTCAGCCTGGGCAGAGCTCTCTGCAGCTCTGTGCTTGGGGGCTGCGGGCACAGACATGGTGTCCCTAATGCCACCGAGTGCAGCTGCGGGGCGTGAGTTGGGCTGGGTGGTGGTGTGTGCAGCCACCGCTCCGCCAGAGATGAAGGCCCAAAGCTGAGGACGTCAGAGTTGGCAGCACCACCCACATGGGACGAAGCACTTGGAGCACCGGAGATGGGCAAGGTGCCTCTGGAAAGTGCTGTCAGCGCCTGGGAGCAGAAAGGCTGCTGGTAGGGCCAGGCCTGGAGCGAGCAGGCAGTGGCACAGCGTGAGTGCGGTGCGGGCCGGGGAGCACGGCCCCTCCAGCTGGGATGAGAGGTCCCGGGAGGGCCCACGGGCAGGTGCTGGCCTGTGCCGTGGCATCACCTGCACACTGGTCCCACGGGGTTCTGCATCTTGGCACCCCTTGCCACTGAGCCAGGATCTGCTCATAGGCGCTGCTCATCAGGAGCCCCTGGGGGGTGTCTGGAAACACGAAAGCAGGAGTAACCAGGGTCGACCGCGTGCTCCCGGTACCGGCAGGGCTGACGTGCTCCGGCAGAGCTGTGCACAGCTGTTCCCCAGGGGCCTGGCAGAGCACGTACCCATGTGAGTAGTAGCTTGTAGGGTGCTGGCCCCCTGCCCCCACTCCGTCCTGCCCTGTGCTCGATGCTGCCCTGGCAGAGGGGTGCAGCTCCCCACGCTGGCTGCACCCCCTTGCCCTGCAGCCCTCCCCACCCCACTGCTCCCCTCATCCTCCCACCAGTGCCAAGTGCTGGAGCCATCACAGCAGCCCTCCTTCCCCTCCCGCGCAGAGCCAGCTGGATCAGGTCAATTTGAGCAGCCCCCAGGTCAGCTACCAATTACCTGCACTAGATGCAGCTTGAAAAGGAGCCTCTGAAGTCTTCTACTCCTTCATTTTCCTCTTTCCATTTCAAATTCTCCGCTGCTGGAAATAGACACTTCAGCCTCTTTTACAGACCATAGTAAATGAGGATTTCGTCCAGGCCTCCCGCTTTTGCTGATACAGACACTTTCTCCTGCACAGACGAAGCCGTGGCCAATCCATGCTGCTGCCAGGCCCTTCTGCCCAGGCCCCACGGGTGCCGTGAGCCCATTGGCACCGCAGCATGGTGGGACAAGCCCCACACGTGTGCCTGAGCCAGCTGGCCCGGCACCTCCTCGCACCCTGAGTTCTGAGCTGGTGGCGGGCGCTGGGGCGCTCTGGTGAGCAGTGCCCCTCATTTCACCAGTGGGCAGGTGCTGCACCGGCTGTGACAGGGATGATTTCCATTGCCCCACGCCAGCCCTGTCCTGGGAGGAGAAGGAAATCCAGTCCCCGCGTCCCTGTCACTTCTTTGGCTCTGAGGCCAGGGGACAGCTACAAGGTCCCTGCTGCAGGGACGGGACCTGCAGGGCCCTTTTGGAGGCCAGGGCTGAGGCACTGCCCTGCAGCGCTCAACTGAAGGGACTGCACCCCCTTGCACTGCAGGCCTGGGCGCAGTGGTGAGCCCAAGGCAGAGCTGCAGAGGCCAGACGAGGAAGGTGCCTAAGGGGTCACATCCTGCTTCCCTGAGGCCAGTGCACCGCAAGCAGCAAGCGCTGGGGGAAGCAGGCCAGCCGCTGGCAGGAGTATTCCCGCCTGATGCAGTCACGCATTCCCCATCCCAGACTGGCGGGTTCGGCTCTCGGAGGCAGCCGCAATTTTACATAAAGTTCAATTAAATATTTGCTTTATAATTGCGCAACAAATTATTCATAAAGGCATTGGAATCTCATCACAGGGCTGACACTATGAAGTCTGCAAGTGACACGGTACTCGGGGAGAATAAAGATTGGGGAGAGCTCCTGGCCCCCCGGGAGGGAGCGGTGCACAGAGTGGGCTGTCCAGCCAGGGGCTCAGGGAGCCGAGGGAAGGGGCTGCTGCCAGTGTGGCAGGCTTAGCCTGGGATGTCCCCTGGGTCAAGGTCAGGCCCCTCAAAAGAAAAGGCTCAGCCTGGGGCTTGCTGGGCGGCCAGCTCTAGTCTCCCCTCGCCTCGTGGGGTTCCTGCTGCCAGGGGCTGCTGCACCCTCCCTGGGTCCTGCAGAAGGAGCTGCAGCCTTGGGCAGCTCAGAGCAGAGCAGGACCGGGATCCCAGCAATGTGTCCTGCCCCCCACCCCCTGAAGCAGTAACTGCCCCATGGGAGCTGGGCTGGGCCCTGTGCAGGGGAAGGAGGCTGGCAGGGGCTGCTGTGGCCTCCGGGGGCTGGCAGTGCTCCACATTCATTCCTGTTTGCTGCTCTGAAGCCAGGGCCCCATCTGGAGAAGGACTGAGTGCCACCAGTCAGACCTGGAGCAGTTGCCACAGGAGCCAGGATGAGGATTCTGCACCACACAGCCTGAACGCAGGCCCTCGGGCCGTCTCCGCAGACTGTGGGCCCCCCCCCAGCTCTGCCTGCACCCCCACCCCAGAGCCCTGGCTGCAGAGAAAGGTAAGGGGCTCCCTGGTTCGTAGCAAGCAGCCTTTAGCTGGCAGCGCGCACAGGACCTTTCCTGCTGCATGGTGCACGGAGCCTGCCTGTGCCCGGCACAGCCCGACTGAGCCTCCCCCTGCCTGAGCACCGCACTCTGCGACCGGAGGGGCCTGGAAGGGAGGCACTTGCCCAGGCTGTAGGGCGCTCGGTGCCCCACGTGTGCCAAGCCGGCAGCTGCCGGAGAAGGCCGACCTGAAGGCCAGCATGCACAGAGTCCGCCTGCATGAGCAAGTGGCAGGGCGGGAGGGCCATGCCCGGGATGGCGCGTCGGGCAGGGAGATGGATAGCCTGCCAGCCAGGCGCGGACAGCAGATGGAGAGCTAGATTAATAGGCACTGGCTCTGCCGACAGAGGTGAGTCACAGAGCTCGTCCACTCCCGCACTGGGCCCGTCTCGCCAGTGGGGGAGCAGCCACGGGATTCAGAGACCGATCTCTCCTCAGCCGCCAGGATGCGCTGGCCTCCTCCTGAGGAATTCCCACGGAGGCGCTGAGCCCTGGAGCGGCTTCCTAGCAGCCGGACGGCCCAGGCTGCACCACGGACAGCCCCACCAGGAGCAGGCTGCACAAAGCGCCAGCCCAGCCCAGCACTGGTGGCGAGGAGCAGCCCCTGGGCAGGCCACCTGCGTGCACGTTCCCCGGGGACCCCAGCAGCTCCGGCCCCGACGGAGTAGTGGGCACAGCAGAGCTGCAGCAGGCCGAGAGGGTAGCAAAGGACTGCAGCTGTCAAGCCTCGAGGGTATCTGTTGGGACCTCCGGAACAGGCCAGGCTGGGCCAGAGGGGAACCCACGGCTGGGCAACCTGCTGCCTGGCACCTGGTGACGCAGTGGGGAGACAAGCCCAGCCCAGGCCAGCCGGCAGCACAGCTGTCGCAGCAGGGCTCACAGGCGTTTCGGCTCCGCAGGCGGCAGCACAGGGAGCGGAGCGGAGCACAAGCTGGCGGCTCCCGGACCAGCTGCTGCCGTCAGGAAGAGCTGGAAGGTCGGGGCCAGGTGCAGCTCCGCACCACTGGACTCTCCCTCTGCCAAGGGACGAGCAGGGACCCTGGGGGCAGGCAGAGGAGCGTCTGGGACGCAGGCCTGATCTCATGTTTGCAGCAGCCGGAGGAAGCTCATCTCGTGCTGGTGACCAGGGAGGCTGCTGAGAAAGCAGCAAATCTGCATCCTGTGCCGGGAGGCCCCGTCTCGCTCTGGTATTTCTTTAGTTGTTCATGTCACGGCCCTTCAGTCTGCGCGGTTTTACAAGCCTGCTGTGGAGATGAAAGCGCCTCCAGATCAAGTTGGGGAAGCTTTTAACTTTCACGTCCTACAGACAAAGGCGCGTGGAGACAGGGGGACGCAAAGCCTGGCAGAGAAAGGGGGAGTGAAAACGAGAGCCCGAAAGAGTGAAGGGGACAGAGCAGGCAAGCGGCAGCAGCGCCGCGCTGGGAGGCGAAGAGGAGCCGGGGGCTGGCGAGGGGGCCGGGCCCACGGGGCCCAGATCGCCCTTGCTCCGAGATCCAGCCGGGAGCAGGGCCTGGGGCGGGG